TTAAAGTCCTCTCACGATATATAGATAAGGAGAAAGTGTTATTTGTACTAAGATTTCTGATGCTTCTTCAGAGATAAATTCAGGTTTTTCTAGGTTTGAGATGGTGAAAAACACAACTAAAAGACCTAATTATTCAGTCAATTATCAGATATTGACAAACTGCTTGCCATAAGCAAGGAATTTACCAAAACTGACATTAGCTCATAACAAGAATGAACAAAAATCCATACAGCTTGAACTTATTCAACATAATTGTGACTCTCATTATTTCTCTGGTTTCTAGGGCCAAGAAAACAACATTCTACATTGTAATATTATAATTTCTGGGATTTCTTTTCTCCTCCACATGTACTTCTTTCTATCTTGAAGGTTTGAGAATTCTTTTTTTTTTTTTTTAAGCTTTTATTTATTTATTTGACAGACAGAGATCACAAGTAGGCAGAGAGGCGGGCAGAGAGGGAGGAAGGGAAGCAGGCTCCCTGCTGAGCAGAGAGCTCCATTCGATTAGGGGCTTGATCCCAGAACCCTGGGATCATGACCTGAACCAAAGGCAGAGGCTTTAACCCACTGAGCCACCCAGGCACCCCTTGAGAGTTCTTTATTAATGAAATGGCAATGTATAACAGCAAATGAATAATGAATTTTTAAAACTTAAAAATCATCTATAGTACATCAGTTTAGCACAGTAACTCGCACATGAGGATTTTTGGCTTCTAGGTACACACAGTTATTTTAAATTACAAACATGAGGGACGCCTGGGTGGCTCAGTTATTGGGTGTTTGCCTTCGGCTCAGGTCATGATCCCAGGTGGGCTCGAGCACTGCATTGGCCTCCCTGCTCTGTGGGAAGCCTGCTTCTCCCTCTTCCACTCTCTCTGCTTGTGTTCCCTCTCTTGCTGTCACTCTCTGCCAAATAAATAAAATCTAAAAAAAAAAAAAAAAAAAAAAGCTACAAACACGGAATGCTTGCTATTTTATATTTTGACATCCATTTAATCATAAATCTCTTCCATGTTTCTTTCTACTTGTCTCCGGATTTAAGCTTTTGTTATGAAGGCAAAATATTCTATTGTGTTGATGTACCATGAATTTTTTCACTATTCCTCCAATGTTGGACATTTCAGCTATTTCTATTTTTTTTTATTAAGGTAGCACACTAGAGGATATCTTTCATGCATTTGGAATTTTAAAAATATTGATTTAAAAACTGTTTTGAGAGGGGCACCTGGGTGGCTCAGTGGGTTAAAGCCTCTGCCTTCGCTCAGGTCATGGTCCCAGGGTCCTGGGATCAAGCCTGGTATCGGGCTCTCTGCTCAGCGGGGATCCTGCTTTCCCCTCTCTCTCTCTGCCTGCCTCTCTGCCTGCTTGTGATCTCTGTCTATCAAATAAATAAATAAAATATTTAAAAAAAAAACTGTTTTGAGAAAAATTCCAGGATATAGTACTTTTAGAACTTTTCCTATATATTATCATCTTCCATCGCCCCCCCCTAATTTTACCAATTTACACTGCAACACACAATAAGCAATGCAATCTTATTGCCCCCTCAATGGCATTATGTTATTGTTTTTTTTTTTAAGATTGTATATTTATTTATTTGAGAGGAGCCAGAGAGAGAGAGAGAGAGCGAGAGCACACATGAGTGGGGAGGAGGAACAGAGGGAGAGGGAGAAGCAGACTACAGGCTGAGCAGGGAGATTAAGGGACTCCAGGATGATGACCAGAGCTGAAGGTAGACCTTTAACCAACTGAGCCACCCAGGTGCCCCAGTTTTTAAAATTTGTTAATCATTAGCAAAAAATAAAAGAGTAGCACAGTGTTATAATTTGCACTTTTGATTGCTGTCAAAATAAACACATATCTATGTGTTTGTTTGCTCATTTACTTCCTCAAGTGAGTGAATTTCTTTTTATGGACCCTGAATTTATCCAAGGAGTTCCTCCCCCACCCCCGTCAGGTTTATGGAGATGTAATTTACATATTAAAAATGTACTCTTTTTAGTGTAAGGTTCTGGCTTTTAACAAATATATGCCACTGTAAAATAGCTCTATTATCCTCAAACTCTCCTTGTTCCCCTTTGTAGTCAACTTCTCCCCCACACCTCCAGTTCCTGGTAATTGCTAAATTTGTTTTTTTGTGTGTCTTTTCCAGAATGTCATGTAAATGGAATCCAACAGTATATAGCTATGCATAGAATTCTAGTGTGTGCTTTTTTTTTAAGTTCCAAAGGTTTGTTTTGTAGTATTCAAAATACTTTATTAAAGGTTTTGTTCAATCTCAAAAGAGCAGTACAGTGTAGGCGGAACAGAAGTTGTGACTCTCACTCACATTCTTGTATCGACACACCTGGGATAAAAAGGTCTTCTAGAATCAGCTCTGAGGTGGTCTGTTGGGGGAGGGCCTTGGGTTTGAGGTAGCATAAGCCACTGGGAGCCGTCCCTTATGTGGAATTAGTTGAAAGTAGCTCCAGTTCAGCTGAGAGAGCTAAGAGCAGGCAAGGTTAAGCCTGCCTATGGCCTGACTTGCCAAGTGAATGCTGGAGGAAGCCTGGGGGAGGCCCATGGTGGGTAAGGGAAAGCATTGTCTCGGGGCGGGGGGGGGGGGGGGCCAGGGGGACTCCAAGAGGGAACAAAATAGTGTTGTGTGTGTGGCTATGCACAGACTAGGAAAACAATGCCTAAAGGGCAGGATGGAGGTGGTTACAACTGTCTTGGGTTGCTTGGAGAGAGGTATTAGGGAAGGACTTGTGGAGGGCAGAGCCTGAGAATGCAGGCATACAAATAATCCCGTGTAGCAGTGTGGTGTTTCTGTGGTCAGGAAGACCTCTCAGTTACTCCCTCAGTGGCCCTGGCACATTAGGCTTTGTGATCCACATCAGGTAGCTTGTATGATCTTTAAACAGAATCTGAGTTCTCTTGCCTTTTTATTTGGTGAATGAGGCTTGCTGAGGGTTTCATAAGATATAGTACTTTCATACCTATCCCTCAAGAAGGCTGTAGCCGTTTTTCTAACCCAAATTAAAGCAGGAACAAAAGACAGCCATGATGGGTGAATTTCTGACTCCAGGCTGGTAAATGATACTTAATAGAGTATTTAAAATTCGAACTTCTCATGTCCAGAGTTTTGAGGTCTTACCTTATCTCCTTGAGGACCTTAGGTATTGCTGTGTAGTTTCTGCCTCCCTCCTGCTTCACAGAACTTATGAATATTCATGAGATAACATTACCATGTGAGCATTGGAAGAACCTCCTGCAAGGTTTGCCCTCCAGTATGCAGTGGTACTTGCAGAGCTGATGCCTGAATTTTCAGGGAACCTAAGATTTTCAGATTCCCCTCAAGCTTAGGAGGAGTTCAAGCCCTTTGGAAGAGTTTTCAGCCTGAGAAGAGTAAGACTTTATAATTCTTAGGTGATCTTATTATTGTTTCTCCCTTTTTTAGAGTGACCACTGCATTCTAAACCCCTCCTCTTCCCTCTGAGTCCATTCTCCTTGCAGTGGGTGGAAGATTTACACATGTGACCCTGGTTAGTACCAATAGACGTAAAGCCTATAAATCTACTGGAGCCATGGCTTTCACCCTACAGACTTGCAAAGGCACACATCTCTTTCTCCCCTTGCCCTGGAATATAAATCAGAACATCTCATTTAGTGACAGAACCTATTCTAAGAGAGATGCTTGCTCCCACCCACATCTAAAACATCACCTTCATTCTGGGCCCTTTGGGCAGTTAGATCCCCGCCATCTGTCTTAGCTTGTAGCTTCTAGGCATTCACAACAATTATATACTGTGCCCCACAGCAGTAGCTTCTTTGAGAGGCTTAGTTTAACTATCAAATTCAACTGGAAAAATGTCATCCTAATTAATTGGAATGGTGGATTGCAAACTTACTTCATTAGCATCACCTCGGAGCCTCTAAAAAGCCCACAGCTTAGGCTGTGTCCCAGACCAATTAAGTTAGAATCTCTGGGGATGGGACCCAGGAATCGGTATTTTTTTAAAAGTTCCCCAGGTGTTCCAACACGCAGCCGGCGGAGAACCACTCAACAGTGCTGCAAGGACCCAACTGTTCTGCCTTCTGTTTACCTTTTAACAAGATTTCACCTTTCCCTTGAAAGGAATCTTAATAACAATGAAAACTCTAAGTAGTTGATCACAGTGCTAGGCCAATAACAAAGCTTTTTTTCGAGGGAGGGGTGGAGAGGAATGGGAAGGGTAGTCTGGCAAGGAAAGGACTTAATACACAGAAAGTACTTTGCCACGGAGTCGTAATCATTCAATTCTAAAAACAAGATGCAGTCCCCTAGAAGCCATCTGGCGCTTCCCTGTGCTTCCAAGAAGTAACGAATTTGACCATCCTTTTGTTAAAAATCTCCAGGAGAAGGAGTGCCCTGCATCCCTCCGCAGCCTCCGGTACACGCGTGCGCGCGCGCCTGTGTCGCCTTTGGGTTGTGTACTTAGCTGCGCAGACAAGCGCTCGCGCCCTCTACTGGCATGAAGTGGGTTTCTCTCCTCGTGTAACAATTGTTTCTTCGGGCTGAGGTAATGGATTCATTTCCTTGAGCTCACCAGAAAGGAACAAGGACTTCCTGGCATTCCTCTGACATCTGGCATGGCACTGGTTTGCCTGCGGACGTTATTTCTTTGATTGTTGGATAGGAACGCAAAGCAAATGGGATGAAGGTGCTGGGAAACGGAGCCCTGCTGCTTCTCGGATAACCTTTGGAGTGTTTATTTGTGATGCTTGGTATCTGCACCATTGGGGTGTTCTGCGGTAATGGGGACACAGACTGGAGTGTAGCTCCCACTGGCTAAGGGAGTAGCGCATTTAAAGGGAGAAGGAAATAACAATTCCCAGAAACCCAAGGATGTCAGAAGGGAAAATGCTTCCCAATCATAAGCAATTTAAAAATGTGATTTTTTTTAAAAGGCAGTAATCAAAACATATAACCTTGTCATTTCAGAGATTGTTCACCCAAAGGAAAACTTGATGGTACTCACCGATTAGGGCTTCAAAGGGCATCTCCTCGATAGGTAACAGATGCTTTCTCTCCAGAGTCGGTTGGTCCTCAGTGTACAGATGCCGCGGCTATGGCTGCACACACCTTCAGTGCTGCCCACTCCACCTTCCCGCTGGACCCCCCACCGGAGGTCGGCACCGGGAGGCTCCAAGGTACAGCCGTTTCTCCCCCTTGTCCCTTTTCCGCAACTCTCTCCCAGGGTCCAGGGATTCACAGTCGGGGCAGCAAGGAAGAACCTAGATCCTGGGTGTCTGCCTCTCGCTTCTTGTCCTCACTGCTGCATCTCAGCTGGGGTTGGGGAAGTCAGTGCTGCAGAGCTGGATGCTGGCTCGTCCCGGTTGCTATGGTGACCAGGAGCGGGCGGCTTGATGGTGGCTGGGGAAGGCAGTGGGGAAAAGGTAACAGATGAGTGATGACGTGATAGATTCTCCTGGGATGTGCTGACCCACAAGGGAGCTGAGAGAAGTGGAGTTCCTGAATGGTACTGTCTGGAATGTCTGTTTTTTAGCCTCCAACCAAAACCAAAACCAAACCCTCCTTCCTCCTTCGGGATTCTTTCCCTCCCCCGCTCCCCAATGGCCATCTCAACACACACACACTAGCATTTTAAGGCTTGGAATTTCCAGCCATAATTTAAGCCCCCCTGCCCTAGGGAATCCTGCTAAATGGAGATCAGTGCGTGACTCCCTGGGGGAAGGGTGCAGTTGCCAGAAGCCTCTTAAGGGCTCAGGACCTAGACCTTTCTCCTTTACTCTGAGAAGGGCTCCTGCTGCTGGAGTTTAAAGTGATTTTATTTCACACTCCCAAACAACGCCCCCTGGATTGTCATGGCCCATGGAACTTGAAAGAAACCTGCCAAGCACTTAAAGATGGAAGACTGGATAGATTTGAATAAATTCCTACCAGCATTTGCTTATTATAATTATAGCATTATAATCAGAGCGGAAAGAAGCCTTAGAGATTATTTTGTCTTCAAGGATCATTGGCTTCAGTATGATATCCATCTTGGCTCTGTAGTCAAAAGCAGATTGACTCCAGCCAGCACTCTCAGAAGAGGGCTGACCCTTGCCTGATGACTTGGAGAAAGGGCTCTTGTCACAAGGGTTATCCCTTAATCATGTCATTGTCTGCCTCATTAACATGTTCCCCTCATTTCCGTAGTCTTTAATCTGAGGATCAGGCTATTGAGAAGATCAGGGTTGTAGTGCAGAGGTGGTACCTGCTTGATGTCCTGCGTCCTTCGTCCACTACAGAACTCTGCATCAATGTCTGTTCCACCTACATATCTGCAGGTGTTTTGCTCTACTTCTAGAATAAGGGAGGGAATATATTTTTACTGAGTTCAGACAATGTTCCTGGGCTTTTCATGGGTTATTTCATTTAATCCTCCTGTCAACCTATGAGATTTTACATCACTTTTATAAATTAAGAACATAAAAGCCCACAAAATAAGTTACTTGCTTGTGCAAGGCTAGGCTATTCATGTAGATAAGTGGTAAAACTGGAATTGCCACCCAGTTCTGTGTGACATGATAGTGGAGGGCATGAGGCCATCAGGGTTTGGCCCATTAAGGAAAACTTCCCGGGATGTCCAGAATCACTGATAATTTCTTCTACTTCTCATTTACTACTTTTATCTATTTCCATTTTTTAAAAAAATTTTATTTATTTATTTGACAGACAGAGATCTGAAGTAGGCAGAGAGGCAGGCAGAGAGAGGAAGCAGGCTTAATGCCAGGACCCTGGGATCATGACCTGAGATGAAGGCAGAGGCTTTAACCCACTGAGCCACCCAGTCACCCCTATTTCCATTGTTTTTAAAAAGAAATAAGATGCCGGGGCGCCGGGGTGGCTCAGTCATTAAGTGTCTGCCTTTAGCTCAGGTCATGATCCCAGGGTCCTAGGATCTAGCCGTGCATCTGGCTCTCAGCTCAGTGGGAAGCCTGCTTCTCCCTCTCCCACTCCACCCACTTGTGCTCCCTCCCTCTCTCTCTCTGTCAAATAAATAAATAAAATTTGATAAAAATAAATAAAAAGAAATAAGGTGTTTATTTTAGAAAACTTGAGGGGTACTCGGGTGGCACAGTTGGCTGAGTTTCCAACTCTTGGTTTTGGTTCAGATTGTGATCTCAGGGTCCTGAGACTGAGCCCAGCATTGTGCTCCAAGCTCAACATGGAGTCTGCTTGAGATTCTCTATCCCTCACCCTCTGCCCCTCCCACTCATGCTCTCTCTCTTTCTCTCTCTAAAATAAATAAATCTTAAAAAAAAAAACAACTTGAAAAATATAGAAACATAAAGGAATAAAAATCATCCATAATCCTATCATCCAAAGAAAACTATGATTAATATTCCTATTTTTGTCCTGTCTTTTTAAAAGATTTTGTTTATTTATTTGAGAAAGTGAGAGTGAGAAAGAGATAATGAGATGGGGGAGGGTCAGAGGGAGAAGCAAACTCCCTGCTAAGCAGGAAGCCCAATGCAGAACTCCATCCTGGGACTCCAGGATCATGACCTGAGCTGAAGGCAGATGCTTAATGGACTGAGCCACCCAGGAACTCTCTCCAGTCTTTTTCCTTGTTATCATTAAACTAAGACTTCCATAAACTGAATGTTTGTGTCACTGCCAAGTTCATATGTTGAAATCTAATCTCCAAATGATGGTATTTGGAAGTGGGACCTCTGGGAAGTGATTAGGTCATGGACACTGTGTCCTCATGAATGGGAATAATGCCCTTGTAAAAGAGACTTCAGAGAGCTCTCTGCCCCTTTTGCCGTGTAAGGATTCAGGGAGAGGAATGCTTACTGTCTATGAATCTTCACCAGACATGGGACTTGGTGATCCTTGGGGATCTTGGACCTCTCCAACTCTGAGAAACTATGAGAAATGAATTTCTGTTGTTAATAAGCCACCCAGTCTATGTTATTCTGTTATTGCAGCCAGAATGAACTAAGACAAAGACCATATATGTATAATTGTATCCTGCTTTTCATTTAAAATAACCTTGTAAGAATTTTACACTCCATTACAGTTCTTTAAAAACATTATTTTAGGGTGCCTGGGTGGCTCAGTGGGTTAAGTCTCTGCCTTTGGCTCAGGTCATAGTCTTAGGGTCCTGGGATCAAGGCCTGCATTAGGCTTTCTGCTCAGTGGGGAGTCTGCTTCTCCCTCTCTCTCTGCCTACCTCTCTGCCTACTTGTGATCTCTCTCTCTCTCTGTGTCAAATAAATAAATAAAATCTTAAAAAAAAAATAAAAACATTATTTTAAATACTACACAATATTTCAGCTTATGAATGTATCATAATTTCTTATGGAATATTTGAGTTATTTCCCATTTTTATTGATTTCATATAACTGTAATAAAAATTTTTCTACATAAATCTTTTCCATGTTTGTGAATATTTGATTTAAAATACTGGAAATACTGGATTAAAGGTATGAGCTTTTTTCTTTTAATTAAGACTTCACTTTTTTAAAAAAAGATTTTTTTTTAAAGTCATGAAAGATTTTATTTTTTTTTTAAATCATCTCTAGGGGCATCCAGGTGACTCAGTTGGTTAGGTATCTGCTTTCAACTCAGTCATGATCCTGGGTCCTGGGATTGAGCCCCAAGTTGGGCTCTTTGCTTAGCAGGGAGCCTGCTTCTCCCTCTCCCCCTGCCCTTTCCCCCTGCTTGTGTTTGCTCTCTCATGCTCTCTTTCTCTTTCTCAAATAATATATATTTTTTTAAGATTTCATTTATTTGTCAGAGAGAGAGAGAGAGAGAGAGAGCATGCACAAGCAGGGGGACCAGCAGACAGAGGGAGAAGACTCCCTGCTAAGCAGGGAGCCTGATGTGGGGCTTGATCCCAGGACCCTGGGACCATGACCCAAGCTGAAGGCAGATGTTTAACTGACTGAGCCACCCAGGCCCCCCATCTCTCAAATAAATTTTAGAAAAATTAATAAAGTCTTCTGTATATCTAATGCAGGACTTGAACTCACAACCTCAAGATCAAAAGTTGCATGCTCCACCAACTGGCTAACAGTCTTAGCCAGCCAGGCACTGTAAGACTTTACTTATTTAGAGCAGTTTTAGGTTCATATTAAAATTGAGGGAAAGGTACAGAGATTTCCCTGTCCCTACACATGCATAGCCTATCTATCCATCATCAACATCCCCCACCAATGTTAATAACAGTTGTTATAACTACATTGATACATCATTGTTGCCCACATAATTTATCCTATAGTTCATTCTTGGTATTACACATTTATGGGTTTGGACAAATGTATAATGATATGCATCAATCGTTAAAGTATCATATTTTTCATTGCTCTAAAAATCCTCTGAGCTCTGCTTGTTTATCGCCTAACCCCTGGCAACCACAGATCTTTTTATTGTGATTACTGTCTCTATAGTTTTACCTTTTCCAGAATGTTGTACAGTTGGAATAAAATAGTATAAAACCTTTTCAGATTGGCTTCTTTCACTTAGTAATATGCATTTAAGATTCCTTCGTGTCTTTTCATGACTTGATAGCTCATCTCTTTTTAGCACTGAGTAATAGTCCATTGTCTGAATGTACCACACTTTATTTATCCACTCATCTACTGAAGGAGATCTTGGTGGCTTCTAAGTTTTGCCAACTGTGAATAAAGCTGCTATAAACAACCATGTACAGGTTTTTGTAAATAAATTTACCTTTGGGTAAATACCAAGGAACATGATTGCTGGATCATAAGCTAAGAGTATGTTTAGTTTTGTAAAAGAATGCCAAACTCTCTTTCGAAGTGGGTATACCATTTTGCATTCCCACTAACAGTAGATGAGAGTTCCTGTTGCTCCTCATCCTTGCTGGCATTTGATGTTGTCACTGTTCTAGATGTTGGCCATTTTTACAGGTGTACAGTGGCATCTCCTTTTATTTATTTATTTTAAGATTTTATTTATTTGTCAGAGAGTGCACAGGTAGGCAGAGCAGCCAGGCAGAGGGAGAAGTAGGCTCCCTGCTGAGCGAGGAGTCCAAGGTGGGACTGGATCCTAGGACCCTGGGATCATGACTTGAGCCGAAGGCAGATGCTTAACTGACTGAGCCATCCAGGCATCCCTCATTGTTGTTTTAATTTGCATTTCCCTGTGATGATGATATGGAACATCTTTTCATATGCTTATTTTTCATCTGAATACCTTCTTTGAGAGGGGTCTGTTATGGTCTATGGTCCATTTTTTTTTTTAAACTGAATTGTTTCTTTTCTTACTTATTTGAGTCCTTTTTATAAGGGTTCTTTGTATATTTTGGATAATAATTTTTTTAAAGATTTTATTTATTTATTTGACACAGAGATAG